TCATCGCAGTGCAATCTACTGTCTTAACAATTTGTCCAATGTCCGTCAACCTGCAACATACCTCTTCCTACCCCAAACCTTCCTTCCCAGATCGATTCGAAGTTCAATTAAACCCTCTACCATAGTTGACTCGCGCTAGGCGGATCCTCCGCTGGGTTTGATCCCCTCAACCAGAGCCTTCCAGTCGGGCCACCTACAATTCCGGAAGGTCATCTTCCCACTCTGGAACAAGTGGTCATGTCTATCTCCCATTTGAGATTGCTAAATCACCATCATCGAAACAAAGACAATTTTGTCACCGACGTTGAAATGGTAGAGGGGATATGTCACCACCATAAGCTTGTTTCGAGATATTCGCAAGGCTAACATCCGTTTCCTCATGCTGACTTGGGGGGCACTGATGGCCCAGATGCAGGCCCAGATGGTCCAGATGCATGCCCAAATTGCCCAAGTGTAGACATGAATGTAGGCCCAGATGGTCCGGATGCAAGCCTAGATGACCCAGACGTAGGTCCAAATTGCCCGGGTGCAGACAGAAATGTTTGCCCAATTTGCCCAGATGCAGAACCAAATTGCCAATTTTCAGGCACAAACTCTTGACCGAATTGCGGGGCTTGGTGCTGAAACTTAGGTTGCACGTGCCTGGGCGTACAATTCCACTCGGAGTAATATCGACAACATCTGCATTGTAGTAAAAAATTTTCAAGACCACCCTACCCAAAACCCTCCTCCATACTTTGATATTGATGAAGCTCAATATGTCGTAGGGGCAAATCCCCTCGTTGGCCTTATTCCTAACAACTTCTTAGATATTAATCATCTTGGGCATGATCATCTGAACTCTATCCATTGGTTCTATAATGAACCATTACTAGTTAGAGATTATTCACTTTGCATCATCATCATGGCCAACTTGCTGACTTTTTAAGGGCTTAGATGTTTGGGATGATGAGCCGGTTAATGAGGAAGCAGGAGATTCAGTCCCTTTCTGTTTGGTTTTTCTATTTTTTCCTTCTTTTTTTGAGCAATTGAAACTTGAGTTTGAATACCATTCATCCCGGTGATCAACTTAGAAGAATAACACATGTATGATAGATCTTTTTTATATCCAAAAAACTTCATGCTAAAAAAATATCACATATGAATGATTAGCTATCCGATCAAAGTATGTAACGGTTATCTATATGATGTATTTGGCCTCTTAAGATAACAATGTGACAATATTTTTGCCAAGGTACGCTATAGGTGGCTTGTCACCACATCTTTATAAAAGTAGGCTAGTAGCCAACAAGTTGTATTGTGTCTAACTTGCACTCGAATTCATGACCATGTACCACCACTTGATTTGATTTGAGACTCAATTGAGCATAAGAATTTTCAAGCTTTCACATTACCTCGTTTGCCTCAGTTGCCAAAATGGTGAACGTGCGAGTTTTTCTAGTTGTGGCCGCCTCCAAGAATTGAGAATTACACTAAATGGATGTTCACAATGCATTTCTTCACATACCCTAGTTTGGTATGTCGCTTGAAAAAAAATCTTTTTATGGTCTGATCTTCAACAAGCTCCTTGTCACTGATTTGATAAGCTTGTTACTTCCCTTATGAAATATAATTTTTTTCAGTCTTACGCTGATTATTCTCTTTTTGCTTTTAAAAAGGGGGTAAATCAACTCCATGTTCTCATTTATGTTGATGACCTTGTTATATTCGGTAATAATTCCTTCGCTATTACTACCTTCAAGCACTACTTTGGTAAGTGTTTTCACATGAAGGATTTGGGTATATTAAAATATTTCTTGGGAATTGAGGTAGACCTTAATTCCCAAGGTATTTTTTATGCAAACGAAAATATACCCTTGATATTATTTCTAAAGCCGGTTTATTGGATTGCAAGCCCGCCCATCTTCAGATCGAGCAAAACCATACCCTTGTTGTAGCTTCCAGTGCTTTTATTAGCAATCTTGAACGCTATCTCCATCTTGTTGGTCGACTAATCTATTTATCCTTTACTCGGGTGATCTTGCTAAAACCGCTCATATTCTTGCCTAATTTATGCAAGCTCCTCGACAAGAACATTGGGACGCCACTCTTTGTAATGTGCAATATTTAAAATGTTTTTCTGGACAAGGTATTTTGCTTAGTTCTGCACATTACACTTCTTTAATAAGTTGGTGGTGTAATTTCGATCGGGTAACTGTCCCACTACTCGCCGATTTCTTATAGGATGGATTGTGTTTCTCAGTAATTCTCATATATCCTGAAAGACAAATTAAAGAAGCAACCCACTGTCTCCCGATCTTCTGCGGAAGCCGAATATCGCTCCATGGCGGCTGTTACTTCTGAACTGAAATAGTTAAAAGCTCTTTTTTGAAGTTTCGATATTGCTTATCACTCGACCGCAGTACCATTATTTTGTGATAGTAAGTCCGCTTTACACATTATGTTCGCGATGCCATCCAAGACGATCTTATTACTACACATTATGTTTATTTTACTGATCAACTTGTTGACGTTTTCACCAAAGCTTTGCACGTGGAAGCACCAATTCTCGTACATAGCTACTTCGCAAGTTCGACATTTAGGAACCCCATGCTCCAACTTGAGGGAGGTGTAAGAACTTTCCTTGTATTTCATACCCTATTGTTGTATATGTGTTAAATTGTAGGATCTTGTATGGTTTATTGCTTTTTTGTACCCCGTCATTACCCATTATTGCGTAGAATATTTCGTGGGCTTAGACTAGCTAAAATCGTAGATGGCAGTATGTATATATACCATGTGTATACGGATGAATAGGACAAGGGGAAAAGGCCTTCTTTATTGTAAAATTATGTGATTAATTAATGATAAAAATTCTTTTTTTGTAAAAGACAAAATCTCAAGGAAAGTGCTTCTCGATCAAGCTTCAATTGTTAATTGTGGAGTTTATCCTGCCTCTTTTTCCTTTCCAGTTGGCATTCTCTATTTTGTTTACTTCTTTGGTCCACCCCACTATAGATTTCAACTCGAATAGTCGAATCATGTGTATAATGTTTATTATAAGTTTGTACAGAGTATTATAATTATAAGTTTATTATATGGCTCAAGAGTGTTCGAGGTTTGAGTTGCCCTAATTCCAAAATTTAACTCATTATAATTGTTCAAACATGTATCATGAGTCATGACAAGCGAAACATTTAAACCGGGCGGGACGGGAAGTCGGGAAAGGTTCGAACAGCACGGAATGTCCCAAACAAACAAAATGCTTTTAAAGAAGAAAAAAAGAACTCTTTACTTCCTAAAAAAAAAACTCTTTACTTCCTAGTAAAATATGCGGAGTATTGCGCTGCGTTTTCTACGGTATGTACGCAACAAAGTATTACTCCGTAACATTTAGGGAAAGTTCCCGAAATAGGACTAAAACAGTTTGAAAATCCCAAAATATGACTGTCATGTTTCTTATTCCCAAAACAGGAGTGAGGATGTTTTTACTTGGACTGTAATTTGTCCCAGACCAGACCAGTCCAGACCAGACCAGTTCAGACCAGACCAGACCAGATCAGACTTGGATAGTTATAAAAATACAAAGAAACCAGACCTTACCAGACCAATTCAGACCAGACCAGATCAGACCAGACCAGACCAGCAAATTACAGTCCAAGTAAAAACATCCTAATTATTGTCAAGTTTGAAAAATATTGTCATGTTTGAGGTCTGGTACTGCCAAAACATGACAATAATTAGTCCTATTTTGGGAATCAAAACACGACAGTCTTATTTTGGATTTTTCAAACCTTTTTAGTCTTATTTATAAATTTATAAATTAAACAGAAATTGTCCTAATAAGAGTAAAAACGTTGTGAAATTCCAAAATAGGACTATCATGTTTTTTATTCCTTGAATATGAGTAATCTGCCATGTTTAAAGCCTAGTAATGCTAAACTTAACAGAAATTTACTCTTATTCAAAGAATAAAAAACATGATAGTCCTATTTTGGAAATTCAAAACATTTTTACTCCTATTTAGAGAATTCTCTCTAAATTAAATCACCATTCCAACCGTCTCCACCTTTGAAGTTTTTTTTTGCAATTTTTTTAACCCCAAGGGGCGTCAAGGGGAGGGGCAGGGTAGGGGACCTGGGGTAAACTGAGATCAATTTCACTTCATTGAGAATTGAACTCGGGAACTCCCATAAGGAAGAGTGAGTCGACGATCAGCTTAGCTGAACCACTTCCTGAGATTATAATAGGAAACTGAAATGTACCCAATTTACCTCTTTATGTTACCTTGTAAAACATGCATATTATTTGTCCACCCTTTTTAAAAGGAAAGCCTTTGTTAAAGGTTGATAGTTTTTTTCTTCTAAAGCCACGTGCGTACCAAATAGTCACATTGTTGCACTACAGTCTACACATAACTATTTTCAAAGTCACCCTTTTGTTTTTCAATTTAGTTTCAAATTTTCATTGAAAAGTTCCCATTTGAAATAGGAGTACCACACACTATGCTAGTTCTACCAAAGAAGAATACTCTGTCTATCCATTTTGTTTGGTACTCTAATATTTATTTTCGATCAGTAATGTAAAAAAGGTCAATATCAATTCTATTTATTCTCTCATTTCATTTATTTATCTACCCGATGGCCTGGGTTAAAGAACCCTAAAGCGAGAGAGATTATGTACTCAAATGGACAAAGCTAGTAACGCGAGGTTAATTAGAGATCCAAGGTACGTAATGATATTGGGGGTCAAACTATTTTTTTTGAAGGGTCAAACTAATTAAAATAGAGTAATGTATAGCTAACCTATGTGGCTATGTAGCACAGAAACTCCCTGGAAGAGTACGTTTTTCATTTCAGAAACTCCCATGGAAACTCTTTCAAAATACTCTTAACAGACATTTTTTGAGTAAAAGTTGGCGTTTCTCGTAGCTTACTATAATTGGTGTGATACATTGTCCTGTCAAAGTAGTGACGTGGACATCCTAATTCCTACTAGAATGAATAAATTACTTTTTTTTTGCTCGAAGAAGGCTTAATTCATAAAAATAGCATTCAGCAAGGGAGTAAAACTAGAAAAGAACCACAAATAACCATCCGCCCGTGGCCGAGACTGAGAGCTAACCACCTGTAAAAAAGCAGTATAACTCGCTAGACCAAATTTGGGCAACTTAAAGCCAATGACGGTTACCGCAGACTTTCCCTCCCCCAACCTTAATGCAAGAGTCATACAAGGAATGAAAACACAAAAAACAAACATAATAAAACAACCTAAATTAAGATAACCAAAACAGACAATAATAAAAACACCATGATAAGTTTTCTTCCCCACCACCATCCAACGCCTCGGTGGTGGCTCAGGAGGGGGACGAATCATCAACCCTTCATCTTGAAACATTCCTTGCCAACTCACCACCACAATTTCCATTGACATCTTCTTATTCCCTATGATTATAGCCCGAATGAACCAGGAATCCATGCTTACCTTCCCAATTGAAACCAGTGACACAAGCGAGGAGTCCATAACCCGAGCAAGATCACGATCCAAAACTGCTTTTCCAGTATTCGTCATCACAACCAAACCGCACGACTCTCGCCGGCCGACTGTAGTCTCTCTATGTGAAATCGAAACAAACAAAGGAAACCCGATCTTCGATCGAAGCGAACGAAATCGGAAGAAGAGGCCTAGCGGCTTACGCCCTAGGAAGAAGAGGCCTAGCGGCGGCTTACGCCCTAGGAAATATCGGAGCATTAATAAATTACTTAATTAATCCCTACTATACAAACTAATTCTCTAGAAAAATGAGGAGAGCGAATAAAGTTAAAAAGTTCATGAACTGTTTAACCATTTGCTTGTAAACAAATTAAGGAGCAAGTAGTTATACAAAGAAAAACGAATAAGTTGCCCGGGTGAGCGTGAATGAAGGATTTAGACATTTAAAAGTAACGACACACATAAACTATTAGTTCATGAATTTACTGAACTTTAATTATTAGTTCATTCCGATTTATGGTAATCTCATGCATATCATGTCTTGTCTTAAACTGGATTTAAATGTTAATGGTTCGCCGTTCGCGGAGAGTATCATTTGCAGCACGAGAAGGAAACGTGCCATCAACGAACATGCCCTTATTCTTAGATTCAAGCATTGCAATCATGTTAATTATGTCAATTATAATTCTTCTCTGTAAGTAGTACAAAGACTAGAATTAAGGTCGGGTTCTCGTTGGGATGAAGATAGAGAGGATTCGAAGGATTGTTGATGTAATCATTTGGAGAATCGTCTCTAGCTTCAGAAGATGAGCAGGTAGCGACCATGGTGGGAATGGATTTAGCGAGAAGAACAGGGAAGAAGAAGATTATTTCGTCTGATACCATATTAGCATTAGTAAAACTTGGAAGAAGAGAACTTGTATTATTACCCCTGAAAGGTGGTATTTATAAATGGTTTATACAAGAAAATATCTAGCTAACAAACTAAAATATCTTGCTAACAAACTATAACAGAAGTATAGTATCAACTAACTGTTGGCTAACACTTGTAGTCAAACTAACTAGCCATCTATTTATTACAAAATATCCTTATAAGCTAATAACGGAGTACTTCATATGTCCCGCTAAGATTGTCTATCTTTTTTTATCTGTCTCACTAAGATTATCGCATACCAAATTTGGCGATGTTTAATTTGTGTAGTTGTATATCGTTATAATTTTATTATTATTTTTTTTAATTAAATATGAACCACATAAATTTACTTTTATAGTGTTACATTGATCTACCCGTGTGCCGTGAAAATGAAGTCCTTATGTTTAAGCGACTTTCGGGGAAGACTGAAGAGTAATTCCACGAAAAGATATGGTAATAAGGAGTGTACGTTACGGAGTAACATTTGATATTGAGTTGCATTGAACTCAACTTTTGTTTCTCTTTATTTTGTTTACTTCTTTGGTCCACCCCACTATAGATTTCAACTCGAATTATGTTTATATTAATTATTATAATTATAAATAAATTTATTATATGGCTGAAGAGTGTTCGAGATTTGAGTTGCCCTAATTCCAAAATTTACACGTGAAACATTCAAAATCGGGACGGAAAGGTTGGAACAGCACGGAATGTCCCAAACAAACGAAAAGCCTTGAAAGTAAAAAAAAAAAACTCGCTATTCCCTAGTAAAATATCAACATTTATAAATTAAATCACCATTTCAACCGTCTCCGCCTTTGGAAATTATATTAGGAAACTGAAATGTACCCAATTTACCTCTTTATGTTAGCTTTGTATAACCTGCATATTATTTCTCCAAATTATTTGAAAGGAAAGCCTTTGTTAAAGATTGATAGTTTTTTCCTCTTCTAAAGCCACGTGCGTACCAAATAGTCACATTATTGCACTACACAAAACTACTTTCAAAGTCATCCTTTAATTTTGTTTTTCAATTTAGTTTTCATTGAAAAGATCCCATATAATGATATAAAACAGGAGTGCCACACACTATGCCAGTTATACCAAAGACGTACTACTTCATCTATCCATTTTGTGTGATTGATACTTTTAACATTTTTTTCGATCAATAATATTTTTTTTATCACCAAAACAGGCCTCCATTCATATCAAAATATTCAGGATTATTACATCAAGCAAAGGGAAAATAAAACTGACACCAACTTATACACCAACAACTACGACTGTAACCCTATGGTGAGACTTTGAGTCGGTCACCCCTAAAAAGAGCAACACAAATCGCTAATCATGTTGTGGGTTTGACACAATCAAACATGTTCCTATAGATCCAACCATACCCAGTGACATAAAGAGAGGCTAAAAATTCAAACAAATTGTCAAAACCAACAACAAAGATGAACACAAGACAACAAATGACAAATTAAACAGATAAAAATTAATAGGAAAACTTTCACGAACTCTATCACCTCGTACAATCCATGGTGGTGGTTCAGGCGGAGGTCGGACCGTCGCTCGATTGATACCCTCTTTCAGTGGTGTACCCGCCGTGTGACCCAAATCCATGCCATCGAATGGAGCGTTCAGCCTCTCCACGCTAACCTCTCTCTCTCTCTCTCTCTCTCTCTCTCTCTCTCTCTCTCTCTCTCTCTCTTCTTCCACCATCTTCTCGCTGCCACGATCATCCACCCCGAGCTACGTCCAAAACACGGCAATCTGGCGCAGTGCTGCATCGATTGAAAGAAATGCCGCACCAGGGCGGCGAAGTAAAAACCCTACACGAGAGATATCGATAGGAAGACACTTACTGAACTTCGATCAAGAAAGATTGATATCGGAAATTACCTAGCGGCGGCTCTGCCCTAGGAGCTCTCTACGATCGTCTCAATAATAGAGATGGTTTTCGATCAATAATATTAAAAAGGTCAATATCAATTCTATTTATTCTCTCATTTTATTTATTTATCTACATGATGAGTTAAAGAACCCTAAAGTACGAAGTGATTAAAGCGAGAGAGACTATGTACTCAAATGGACAAAGTAACGGTTAATTGGAAATTTAAGGCCGCCGGTACGTAATGATACTTGGGGTCAAACTATATTTTTTTGAAAGGGTCACACTCATTAAAATAGAGCGATGTATAGCCAACCTATGTATCACGGAAACTTTCTGGAAGAGTATGTTTTCGTTTCGGAAACATTATGGAAACTCTTTGAAAACACTCTAAACAAACGTTTTTTGAGCAAAAGTTGATGTTTCTTGTTTCCTCATTATTTTCACGTTTCCGTGCAACATACTCCGCTAACTATAATTGGTGTGATACATTGCCCTACCAAAGCAGTGACGAGGACATCTTGATTCCCAGAAATTTTAAAGTGCCCGCAACGTGCTCATTTTAATGAGCACGTAATTTTATCCGCACTCCGTAACATAGTATTCTGTAGCAATTTAACATAATTCTCTAAAAAACATCAACTAATCTAATACGTAGTATTAAATTATTAATCTGTATGAAAAGTGAAATTCCGCAGATGACACTCCATTACCTCCCATCTCGGTGGCAAAGAAAAGATCTCAAACAAAATTAAAATTGCATAGAATTTTGAATTAATAAATGAAAAAATTATTCAAAAATATTATTGAATAAAACTTATTTACAAAAATGGAGTGTCACTTATAGTTAATATCAGTGCAAAGTTAATTATGTGTGAAAATTAAACATAAGTTACTATTCTTATAATTACTATTATAAGCATTACAGAGATCACATTTTTATTTTAATCATAAATATATAATTATTTGAAATAAAGACTAAAATAAGACCCACGACTTCTTAGTTTCCAAAACTACGACCTATTCTCAATTGGACAAAAATAGGATCGTGCACCAGTTCCGACGCGCGTTTCCCGTTCTTCTCCAGAGTTCTCCCCTGCCCGCAACAATAGCGCCGACCAGAGCTCCAAGCATCGACATCGTACAGCTTCTCGCTGATCCACACCGCCGCCGTTCGCGCCTGCAACGTTCTTCTTCTTCGTCTTGGTGCTTCAGGGGCTCAACAACGAACGAAGCTTAATTGGTCGACGGGAGAGGCTTCGACGAAGCCTTCACCTACACACGTTACCAAATTTATGGCGGCTGCAGTTCCATTTGCGACGACGACGACCTAAATTATCATATATGCGGTAGCCTGGAGCAGGGGAGGGGGAAATGGTGGAGCGGAGGTGACAGGTTTGGTTGCCTGGGGCATGCAAAGGACGAGGTTCGGACAAGGTCTTGGGCACTGGTGAGGTCATGTAAGGTTTATGAGGCTGATTCGGCAGTAGCCGGAGCATGGGTAGAGGCGGACGACACATGTGTGGCGGTGGTGGTCGAGGCATGGGTAATGGCCGGTCACTGCCAGGGTGGTCAATGGCCGTGTTGGTCATGATCGGGTTGGTCAAGGTCGGGTTGATCATGGTCGAGTCATTATCAGATTGGTCACAGTTGCTTGTTGGTCATTGGTCAGTGATTGGGTTGGTCATTGGTCAGTGATTGGGTTGGTCACTGACTGAATTGGTCACGGTCACTGGTCAGATTCGTCATGGTAATTGGGTGGGTGGGTCATGGGCACTAGTTGATTTGGTCACTGGTCGGGTTGGTCACTGATCAGATTAGTCACTGCTCGAATTGCTCATTGTCACTGGCAGGACTTTAATCTCTTTTTTAGAATTAAGATTTAATATTTTCAACGGTTTCATCTATTTTGCCTAGGAACTGAACCGGTCTCACGCCTAATTGTGATCTATTTAAATAATTATTAATAATTAATTTTATTTAAGAAATAACTATATATTAATAACTAAAATAAAAGTTGATTACAAAAATGTCATCTCTTCTGTGTAATGCTTATAATAGTAATTATAATGGAAAAGGGTCAAATAGGCCCTCGAACTTACATAAAAAGGTCAAATAAACCCTTATTAGGAGACTCTGTCCGGCCGTCGCAATTTGAGGTAGATCCCGGTGGAATTTTTTGATAAACTGTTTTGAGCATCTTATTCATTAAGTCTAGTTTACTCATACCAATTTTCAGCTAACAATTCAATCAGAAAGGCATTCAAATGAATTCTTGAAGATAACTGCTCTTTTAACTGCGCAGTTATATTCAAGAATTCATTTGAATGCCTTCCCGACTGAAGTTTTAGCTGAACTTTAATTTGGTATGAGTAAACTAGACTTAATGAATAAGATGCTCAAAACATTTGATCAAAAAATTCCATCGGGAACCGCCCCAAATGGCGACGGCCGGACAGAGCCTCCTATATAATGGCTTATTTGACCTTTTTATGTATAATCATACTAACTTATGTTTAACTATGTTTAATTTTCGAGCATAATTAACCTTACACTATGATATTAACTATAAGTGGTATTCCATTTTTGTAATTAAATAAGTTTCATTCAATAATACTTTTGAAAAACCTTTTCATTTATTAATTCAAAATTCTATGCAATTTTATTTTTTTTGGGATATTTTCTTTTCCACCGAGATGGGAGGTACTGGAGCGTGTCATCTGAGATATTTTCTCTAATACGAAGTAATTAATATATGTTGAGAGAATTGTGTTAAATTTCTACGGAGTACTATGTTATGGAGTGTGGATAAATTTACGTGCTCGTTAAAATGAGCACGTTGCGTGCTCTTTAAAATTTCTGTCTTAATTCCTACTAGAATGAATTATTACTTGATTAATTAAACCCCACTATTCAAATCTCTAGGAATAAAGTTAAAAAGTTCATGAACGTAACTGTTTAACCATTTGCTCGTAAACAAAATATGGAGCAAGTAATTACACATTGAAAACGAATTGAGTTGGGTGAGCGTGAATGAATGATTTAGACATTTAAAAGTAACGACACACATAAACTATGCTCTAAATGGATTTTGCATTAAAAAAT